CTGTACATGTATGAAGAGAGTCCAGTTCAAAACTCTATCTAAATGTCCAAAAACAGGACAATTGTGCCCATTAGTTTTAAACCAGCTTTTCTCTTTACATGTGAACAGAAGTACCAGACGCATTTTTAAATTTTGTAAAACTTTTCAATTACAAGGAGACTTTAAATTAGAATACTTGGGGAGGAGGCGTCCATATTGGATCACCATGTGCTGCCTTCTTTCGTTCCCCACATCCTGCTTTGGGGAAGTTTCAGCAAATGACTCAAATGGCGTATTTTTCCCAAAGTCATGATTAATAAAAAGACATTTAATTTTTTTTTCCTATTTCACTACAACAAAGACACAAAAACATCAAGGCACACAGAACACACTAAAGTTTACAGCAGAGAATGTCCAGTATTAGAAACTACCAAAGCAGTGTCTTTTGTCCCTGCTTCAGGAACTTCCCCTCTCTAGAATTTCAGTATATTCCCAATGGACTATTCAAAAAACAAACAAACAATGGGCTAAAGGAAAAACAAGGAGTAGATATTAATTAACTTCAGAATAGTTCTGAGACAGTCTCTAAAACTTTATTAATTTCCATCTTATTAGAATAAATTTTTTCTATGCTTTTCTCTAGAAGCTTCTAATTTCCAAATCAAGATATGCTTCCCATGTACTCATTCAGTTTAATTTCAGAGCCGGCATTTTCTAATTTTTGCATGCAAAATATTAACATGGATACCCCAAACAAACTGCATTTTAGCCATTTCTCAGTTAATATTTTCTAACTAAATCTTCCCATTTCTGTCAAGTACTTGCAAGTAAAGGCTTCCTATCAGGAGTATTAAATGAGGGCTGGTGTCTCGGGAGCTTCTGGCCTTGGCGGCACAATTTCCCATGTTAACTTTTTTATTACTATTGAATATCTGTAGAGTCTGAGCAAATTTTCTAGGGGGTGTTATGTAGTGGGTTGCAAAATGCACTGCTTATGGGTTGAGCTCCATGAGTCTGTCCCCTCTCACGTCACAATTCAACCCTCTTACGTGTCTCGGTTTCTCTCCTGGCTGTCTAAAACAGCCAGAAAGGCTCGGGGCTCTGGCTTACCAGGCCTTATGGGCGCTCCCCCGGATGAGCAAGTCAGTTAATTACAGTTGAGTTGGAATTTCCCTGTGGGGCTCCTGCACGTCATGAGGTATAACTTCTGACACCTCCACAAAGGTTCTTAGTTGCCTAAGAACACCCGGGAACCAGGCAGGAGGGAGGATGTGCCCCTTTATCTTCAGAGCTGTCAGCTCTCATTTATACAGCGAAGGTTTTCTTTTTTGCTCAGACTCTCAGAAAGCAAAACTAATTGAAGAGCCAAAATCAAATCCAGCCACCCATTTTTTTTACTCCAGTCCTGCCTTAGCCTGGGTTCTGTCAACCCTTAACCTGGGGTCCTAATCAACCCTGATTCCACCTCGAGGATTTTAAACAGATCAAATAAAGTCCAACCTTCGACCAAAGGAAGGGAAGGTTCTGGATCCAAGAGAAAACTAGCCCATGTTCACCCAATGGGCAGAGAACTGGCAGGCTCAATGGGCCCTTTGCTGGATCCTAGCACTGAGTCAAAGTCCAAGGGATGGTCCTGGGTGAGTTTCTTTGGAATCCTGCTGTGACTACGCCAATTAATGTTAACGTAAAAAACCATTGAAACCTATAAAGAATTTTTGTGAGTTTATTTGAGCCAAACTGTCGACATATGCCGGGAAGCAGAACCTCAATGAATTGAGATAGTGCTCCAGAGAATGGCAGGGTTACATCCGTATTTATACATGAAATTCATTGGTGACAGATTTAAGGAGGTGGGATTAAGCGAAGCGGGGAAACCTCTGTGATAGGATTAAAAGTAAGATGATGGACACATACTTAGGGGGGGTGCAGGAACAATTAACATGATGATGAAGGAATTTGTGGCATATGTCCTGGGCCCAGCACACCTGGCTGTTCCCCAGGGGTTTCAGATACAGGGAAGTCACAAGTTACCCAGACATTTCAAGGGTATGTTATCATAGATGCAAAAAGACAGATAGGCTCAGTTACAGTAAAGGTTGACCTTATCAGTGAGGATATCACCTTAGGACGTAACTGCCCACCATAACTGCTTTTAGTTAAGGTTTAATTTCAGACCATCCTTTGTGGTTACTTTAGGTCTCGAGTCTGCAAAACTGCCATGCAGGCCTCTCCTGAGCCTGTCAGGTCAACATGTGGCCCCTTTCGTCCACAATATATATAACTAAAATGAAAAAAAACGTGATAAAGCTTTTCTAGTGGTAATTATATATGCCTAAACGTAGTTTTCCAAAGTCTTTGATAACTTAAAACTTTTGAATTTGCTGAATTAAATAATAAAAATTATTAAATATGTAGGTATTTTAAAATGACAGAATACTAAAACATTAATCTGTTTGCCTCACACGAAAAATCTAGAAGATAGATTTGAATCTATTAATTGAATATGTCTTATATTTTATTTGAAATATCTCTTAAAATATGCATATATATTACTAATCTGAGAAATGCTAAGAATTTAACTTGTCACCTAAAATTTGAAGCTTCTGCCCTGACCGGTTTGGCTCAGTGGGTACAGCGCTGGCCTGTGGACTGAAAGGTCTCAGGTTCAATTATGGTCAAGGGCATGTACCTTGGTTGTGGGCACATCCCCAGTAGGAGTTGTGTGGGAGGCAGCTGATTGCTGTTTCCCTCTCATCAATGTTTCTAACTCTCTATCCCTCTCCCTTCCTCTCTGTAAAAAATCAATAAAGTATATTTTAAAATTTGAGGCTTCTAAGAGTTAAAAGTATAAATTAAATTGGGAGAAATTATATGGTCATTATAACAGAATGCATGAAGCATGGAAATTCATTTTTGAGGAAAATAATTCTTGCATTTTCTCTGGAAAATTAGTAGTTCAAAATATATTGTAATATTAATGCATATGTGTGTCTGTGTACTACGTCTGATAAGACTTCAACCTAGAGTATAATATTTTATTGGCCTGATTAAAAGAGGATTAATTCTATAGTCTAAACCAAATTTTTAATATTAAAGCTGATTTAAATTTAATTGATGTCTTTTATAATAATTACAAACAGTGTGTAATATAATCTTTGGGTTATGTATATTTGATAGTCTTTCCAAGTTACATTTCAAGACTTTAACCAAGAGGGATATTTCAAGGGCCCTGGAATGATTCAAGGATTTATTCTCTCTTCTTAAGAGAAATATTTTTAACTAAATCGGGCCAATGTAATATACTTGAAATCATATAGGAAGCTTTGTCAAACAAAAAGTAATAACTATGTTCTATTTATATACATGTATTTTGAAAGTGATTGAGGTTTCAGCCTCTAAGCTTGGCAGGAAACGAGAATACTCAGTAACCGAATTTTAAAACAGGGGCATACATAATGCCTCAGACCCCCACTCAGCCTGCTCTTCAGATGGCATCTGTACTTCATGGGTCAAATGTATAAGTTTGCTTACTTTGCTTTTTCAATAAAGGTGCATACTTTACTTAATAAGTTAGCTTTTCACAATATAATCAAGATTTCATATAAAGTCATTTATATGTGAAGCCAATATGTTATGAGAAATTGGTTCTAGTAAAGTCCAAAGTAAAATTTGCATATATATGCAAATGAGCACTAGCCAAAAAGAATGCTGTTTAGAAATAAATTTAAGCTTAAAAAGGAGAAATTTAAAAATCTCTTCCACTACTATTTACAAAATAAACTAAAAGTTATTATTCAAGCATTAAATCTCATCATTAATGAGACACCGTAAGTAAAAAGAAAGTTACTTTCACTTAAGATGTATGCATTGCAGCATTGGCCAGCATGTCTCTCTCCTACCTGCTTTTATGGAAGGTGACCAAGTTGGTTGCTCTGTTTGAAAATAAGTCTTTAATGTAATGACTTATGGTAAACCCACAGGAAAAGCAGACTTTAGCAATGTTTACCCAATTAAGAAAGAAACTCTCTAAAAGGGGGTTAAAGATTGCTCTGGAAATGATACAGAAGGAAACGTCCTTCAATGAACTAAGAACCATAATTGAAAACCAATGTATTAGGCCTTCAAAAGTAGAAATACAAAAGAGTTGCCTTAAGACCCTGAATGACTTCCTGAAATTATTAGGGGACATTAATTGGTTAAAATTAATATCTAAAAATCTCTATGGGAGCCCTAGCCAGTTTGGCTCAGTGGATAGAGCGTCAGCCTGTGGACTCGAGGGTCCCAGGTTCGATTCCAGTCAAGGGCCTGTACCTTGGTTGCAGGCACATCCCCAGTAGGGGGTGTGCAGGAGGCAGCTGATCCATGTTTCTCTCTCATTGATGTTTCTAACTCTCTATCCCTCTCCCTTCCTCTCTGTAAAAAATCAATAAAATATATTAAAAATCTCTATGGGAGAAATAACAAATTTATTCAATATACTTAGGGAATCCTGAGAAAGCTTTTATTAAGTGTATGCAGGGAACCACGAAATCATTTTCTAATTTCATGGCTTGCCTCACTCAAGCAGTGGGATGGCAAATACAACATGAAACAGCAGTTTGCAACCATCTAGAAAATCTAGATGCCAAGTGGTTTGGGGCCATCTAGTAAATCCTATCTTCCCTAAACCAAGAACACTTAAGAATAAATGATTTGGATTTTGCCTCCCTAAACAGGGTAAATAGCTTATGTCAATGTACTCAAGGAAACTGATAGCAGATATCCAATTAGTGTCATTTGCTGTCCATGCCCAAGGACAAATGAAGTTAGAAAATAAACCTTATTTCAGACTGATTTGAATTGACAAATTGGAATAAATGGATATTCAGAGGAACTTAACTGTCACCTACTAAAAAACAAGTTACTACAATTTTTATATTACACCCCTATTATCATACCAAAAACAAACAAACAAACAAAAAACCAAGAACTTATTTCTGGAGCACTAACTGCTTTTACTGATGGTTCATCTAATGGTAAAGTGCCTTATCATGCAATGGATTCAGACCGTCATCCAGACCAGTCACACTTCTGTGCAAAGAATTGAATTAGAAGCTATCAAGGCTGCGCTGCAGGATTTCCAAAAGCCTCTTAATATTATTTCTAATTCTGCCTATGCTGCTGGCTTGGTAAACAGAATTGAAACTACTCGATTAAAATGGCTGTGACCAAAGTCTACTTATGCTATTTAAACAGGTATAGCAAATTGTACAGCAAAGACAATATCCCTTTTATATTATTCATATCAGGGCTCATACCACTCTTCCTGGTCCTTTAACAAAAGGAAATGCATATGCCAATCAATTAGTTGCTTTATTACAACAGGCCACAGAATCTCATCAGCTTTTACATAAGCTTGCCAAAATGTTGTCTAAACAATTCTCAATCAGTCAACAGCAGGCTAAACAGATTATCACGGAACACCTGTATATTACATCTGCTTCAAGGGCCTAATACAGGAATTAACCCTCAAGTATTGATAAGGGACCATATCTGACAAATGGGTGTAACACATTATACTCCTTTTGGATGCCTTGGGGCATTGCATGTCTCTGTAGATACCTTTTCAAAGGTCCTGTGGGCTGCTGCATTTACAGGAGAAACTTAAAACAGGTCATTAATCATTGCCTAGCTGCTTTTGTCATCATGGGATTCCAAAAATTATTAAAACTGATAATGGACCTACATACACAACCTGTCATTTTCAACAATTCTGTAAAAAATGAAAAATTCAGCACATTACAGGAATATCATATAATTCCCAAGGACAGGCAATTATAGAATGCCAACATCAGCGGCTAAAATCCCAACTTGAAAAAAAGGGGGGGGGGAATAGTGATGCTGGCGTAATCTCCTATAGGTAGACTACACCAAACCTTAATTACCTTAAATTTTTTCACTTGTAACGCTGATGGCAAGACACCAATGGAACTACACTGGTGTAATAATAAGACAAAGGAAAAATGTCTGGTTAGATGGAAGGATCCTGAGTCTGGTTTATGGATAGGTCCCAACCCTTTATTAACCTTTGGTTGAGAATATGCTTGTATATTTCCAGAAAACTCCTCCAAGCCCGTGTGGATTCCTGCAAGGAACATCAAACTCCAACATAGAGCCATGGAAGGAACTGACCAAACTAGTGAAGACCTTGCACCTGGAGCCTCACCCTGTACCTGTGGCCCCAGACAGATGACTACACCAGCCACAGATAGCAGTAGCCCAAGCACGCTGAAGATAAGGAATGGGAGGAAAACAAGACAGACGACAAATAGTCTGGAGATGACATGGGGGATGTCTGCAGATGCGGAATGAAGAGTGTTAAAAGGACTTGAGCCTTACAGGTGGCATACACTTTTCAAGATTTATTAAGAAAACAAAAAGGGGGAGATGTGGGTAGCTACCGCATAACGCATACTGGAGTGAATTCTATCATGAACGTGCACCGATAAATGCAGGAGGCTGATGGACCTTGAGCGTTAGCAGGGCTTACACTAGGCATTGTGTTGAGACTGCGGTGGCTCGAAGCAATTTCCCAACCTGACAGTCTCCAAGTAAATGTTTACTGGACCTTACTGATCTTTACTGACCTTTGAGATTGTCTGTCTGCTACGTGCTTGCCGTGCTTTATTGAGGGCAAAATGTGTATGTAAAACTGAGTAAAAAGTAGACAAGGCCAGGACTCAGTGTGTCTCTTCAAGAAAGAGACTCCACCTGGCCCCCGCCCCTTAATAATTCATATTTTTGTTTAGCATTTTCATTTGTGCATTGGCCCCTCCTTCAGATTTTGAACCTCGCTGTGCAGGTCGTGGCATGTATATATTTCTGTTTTACACTCCTTCACTCCAAATGTTCACATTCTCATGTGCAGATTTTTTTTTCACCTCTCTAGTGGCTGGACTTACTCTTTCAGGGCATAGAGATCTGGTGAAGGATCATGGACAAGGAGTGGAAAATTCAAGAAAGTTCTGGCTGTTGCTAAAACTACCTCCTCCACTCTACCCACAACTTGCCACTGGTCTCCTCACTCTTTTTCTTCCCCTTGCAAAACATTCTGGTCATATTTTTTTTAAAGAAAGACATGATTTTTTTTCTACTCTCTTTATAGGGACTCACCAAACTCTGCTTACTATTTCACTTATATTTTCCAGGTCTGTTTGTTTGGTTGTTTTGGGTATTATCTTTCTGGGATGGGCTGGAGTGAATTCTAGCCATGTAACTATTTTGAGAACTTTTGGTACATTACCCTACCTTAAGAACACCCCACATATTGCAGCAAGAATTTAATAATGCTATGTCTGGAGCAGCCACCCTCATTTCATGGAGCTCAATTGCAGTCTCTGTTTCTTCAGATAAGCTCAAGCACCATAGTAAGCCTCAGCAACCTTGACACACTGGTACTTCTGATATGAGAGTTCCCTTGTGAAGAATACATGAAAGAACAGGTGCAATGTAGCAAGTACAGAGCCTGGCCAATAGCTGTCACTCAGCGTTCTCTGGGTTTGCAGAATGAGAGGACACAGTGTAATGCCACGGACACAGCCTGGCATTCAGAATTTCCTGTGTTTAGATACAAGTACCTAGGTCCCAAGGCCTCTTGACTCTAGTTGGCCTCCTCTGCAGGGGTGGTTCACTTTGAAACAGTTAACTGGGTGTTAGGCTAGTAGGAAACTCAAAGGGCAGTAATTATAGAATGTTTAGACTCCTCTGGCCCCCAGAGCTTTCACTATGCCTTTAAAAAAGCGACTTTCTGTAAAGATTTCATCATGTTTGTCTGTCCCTGAGGAAGTTGTTTGGGACCAGCTCTTGTCTTCCTCAGCAGCCCAAGTTGATCTTCAAACCTCCAGCTCCAGACCCCACAGATTCTTTTCACAAGAAACTTGTGAAGACATTGGTGACAAGTCACTGCCTTCAGGCAACGGTATGGGTGAGTTGATAAGCATGAGGCCTTGGCCTTAGATTCCCACAGGGCTAGAGGAGTTCTGGGTCTTCTCCTGTATCCCAACCCACAGATACTTCATCCAGCTGAACTCTCCCCTTTAGAAAAAGGGTGACAAGGGCTCAGGCTGACTATTTTCTGTGCTCTTGAGGAAATGAACCAAGTGGTCCCTGGCACACTCATCCTGGTTCCACATGGAAAAGCTCCCCTCCTTTGGATGTGGCTGAGGTGAAATTTATTTCTCTGCTTCAGGAGAAAGACTTGAGTCATGTGGGTCTTTTAGGTCCAGGGTTTGGAGATTGGGGAGGATCACCTAGGTTGGAGGGATTTTGTATAAATTAACATTCTTTGGATACATACCAGAATTGGGGAGGGGCAGAGAACCCACCAGTACCCTTGAATCTTACATCAGCTATTCAAGGTAGATTGTATTACCCCATAGCAGTTTATTGAGGCTTGCTTTATGGCCCAATATATGACCTATTCTGGAATGTCCCCTGTGTGGTTGTTCTGTACATTGTTTTATGTTAATTTACTTAATTCACATTTTAGAATCTTTTCCTTCTAGTTGAATTTTTGTCTGCCATTTATGTGTCAATCAGTGGGCTGTGTTAAAATTTTCCACTCTGTTCATAGATTTGTCCATTTCTCCATTTACTTCAGTCAGTTTTTGCTTTGCATGTTCTAGCTCCATAATAAGACATATAAATTTAGAATTCTGTATTAGTATCTTCTTATTGCATTGAACCTATTACAATAAAAAACTATTTTTTCCTTAGTATGCCTTTTACTATGAGTTTTCAGGAAGTTAGTATATAAATGATATACACTTAGCTTAAAAATCACTATATAATACAAAATGCCATGTTAATAGCAAAAGTTAAAAATCAAATTGCATGTGAAAAGTTGCATGAGGAAATTACCACCTATATTTTGACATAAGGTTTATATAAATGAAGTAAAAAATACTCTTAAACAATAGAGGGGTCAACTGATATCAGGGAGAATGTACACATAAATATAAATTCACAATAAACACTTAAAAATATGCCAAATGAACAAATTAAATAAAATGAAAATGAATCACATTAAATGAAACAGAGGGCTTATAAAATATAGCATATAATATTTCATTCTGTAAAAGAATATATCAACATGTGTATATATGTGTGTAATTGTAAGTGGGTGCATGACACAGAGGAAAATTATGAAAAACAGGCACAAATAAATTAACGGATACTATATTTGTATTATGATGAGCAGAAGGGAGGCCTATAGGGAGAGAGAGAATAATTTTATTTTCTACATTTACATTTCTATATTGTTTAATAATTGTTCACCAATACAAAGTATTCATTGGTAATCTGAAAAAGTTGTTGAGATAAAAATTTATTAACAGGAAAATCTGCAGATCAAGTCATAAAATGATAGTTTAGAAATACATTTACTGACTTAGAAATATGTTTATGTAATGCTGCATAAAAATAGAAAATTTAAAAAAGTTTCTCAGATAATTCAATGTGTTAGCACTGGTGAGATTTAGAACATTTTTAAAATTTTCTATTTCTGTAGATTTTAAAATATGGAATTTTAAAAAATAAAAGATTGGAGATATAAAATTACACTGATTATAAATATGATGCTTTTATATTCTTTGGTTTGGAAATAAATTCATGGCTTTATAAATAAAGGTTTTTATGGGGAAAAAGAAGAACATAAGCACACTTTATTTTACAGTGTTTGTGTGTGTGTGTGTGTGTGTGTGTGTGTGTTATCTGTATGTTTCTATACCTCAATCTTCTTCACAACAATTTATCCACACACTTACTCTTGCAGCTTTCTATTCAGTTCACTTACAGGCTGGACTTCTAGCCCTAGCACTTGAAGATGCCAGGATGGACATAAATAAAGAAGGATCATTGTCAGCATATAGAAAAGTCCCTCTAAACTCCCTACAGTTTACCAAACCCCTAGCTGAGACTTTCACACCTACAATTCTGACTCTGATGTCTAGATGACATCTTTCTGTTTCCTAAGGATATTGTTCCTAATGAAAAGGCAGAATTTTAAGAAACAGAAACAAATATTTTCTTCAAGTAGATTACAAAACAGTAAGTACTCTGTGATCTCCACTCTCTTTGAAAAAGTCATCCTATATAATAAAGAGGTAATATGCAAATTAACCCTCACACCCTCACAAGATGGCTGCCTATGACCAGGCTGGCAGGGGGGTTAGTGAGGGATGACCAAACGACTGAACAGCAGGCTGCATGGGATGACCAGGTTGGTGGGGGGGCCGTGAGGGGTGACCAGGCCAGCAGGGGGGAGAGTTGGGGGTGACCAGGCTGGTGGGGGGGGTGTGTTAGGGGCAACCAGGCTGGCAGAGGGGGGGGATAATTGAGGGTGACCAGGCCAGCAGGGTGGGGCAGTAAGAGGTGACCAGGCTGGTGGGGGGGGCAGTGAGGGGCAACTAGGCTGGCAGGGGGGGTAGTTAGGGGCGAGCAGGCTGGCAGGTAAGGGCAGTTAGAAGCTACTAGGCAGGTAGGTAGGTGAGCAATTAGGAAACAGCAGTCCAGGATTGTGAGAGGGATGTCCAACTGCTGGTTTAGGCCCAATCCCACAGGAGTTGGCAGTCTGACATCCCCCAAGGAGTCCTGGATTGGAGAGGGTGCAGGCTGGGCTGAGGGGACCCCACCTCACCCCTGTGCAAGAATTTCATGCACCGGGCCTCTAGTCCTATCTAATAATAGAGAAACATGGTAATTAGCCGTAACTTTGCTACCCTTCCCATTGGCTAATCAGTGAGATATGCAAATTAACTGTCAGCCAAGATGGCAGCCGGCAGCCAGGCAGCTGAAGCGAACATGAGGCTTGCTTGCTCCAGTGACAGAGGAAGCCAACGTTCCCCACCTGACGCCGCCCAACTCTGAGCTCCTGAAGCAACAGCTCCAAAAGATACAATGTTTCAATTATAGAAGCTAAAAGATGGCGGTTAATTTGCATATACCAGTTGCGAGGGAAGACTGAGGACAACATGGAGGCCAAGCAGTACAGAAGGGAGCTAAGTAGAGGTCTCAAGGACAGAAACGGAGCCAAGGCTGCAGAGGTGGGAGGTGGGAGGTAGGTGGGAGGGCAAGCCCAGCCACAGCGGCTGCTAGCTGGAGGGGCAGCGGCTTGGAGGGGAAGGGGCAGCTCCTGGGAGCGGGAGGGGAAACCTGCCACAGCACCTGGGAATGGGAGGGGAAACCCAGCCGCAGCAGCTCGGAGTGGGAGCGAAGCCCGCCTCAGTGGGTTTCACTCCCCTCTCTGCTTCGCTTCAGCTGCTGGAAGCCCTATTCTTGCAGGAATCTTCCTGCAATGGGCCTCTAGTCCTATATAATAAAGAGGTAATGTGCAAATTGACCATCACTCCAACACACAAAAATGGCTGCCCCCATGTGGTCAAAGATGGCCACCCCCATGTGGACACAAGATAGCTGTCACAAGACGGCCAGCAGGGGAGGGCAGTTGTGGGTGATCAGGCCAGCAGGGGAGGGCAGTTGTGGGTGACCAGGCCTGCAGGGGAGGGCAGTTGGGGGTGACCAGGCTGTCAGGGGAGGGAAGTTGGAGACCAGGCTGGCAGGGGAGGGCAGTTGGTGGTGACCAGGTCTGCAGAGGAGGACAGTTAGGGGTGACCAGGCTGGCAAGGGCGGGCAGTTAGGGGTGACCGGGCCAGTATGGGAGGGCAGTTAGGGGCAATTAGGTCTGCAGGGGAGGGCATTTGGGAGGGGACCCAGGCCAGCATGGGAGGCAGTTGGGGATGACCAGGCCTATAGGGGAGGGCAGTTGGGGGTGACCAGGCCAGCTGGGGAGGGCAATTAGGGGCAATCGGGCTGGCAGGGGAGCTGTTAGGCATTGATCAGTCTGGCAGGGGAGTGGCTAGGGGGTGATCAGGCTGGCAGGAAGAAGCGGTTAGGGGCAATCAGGCAGGCAGGCAGGTGAGCGGTTGGGAGCCAGCAGTCCTGGATTGTGAGAGGGATGCCAGATTGGAGTGGGTGCAAGCTGGGCTGAGGGACACCCCCCCATGCACGAATTTCATGCACCGGGCCTCTAGTATGTATATAAAAAGACTGAGGAAAGATACTTAGCTTCACTTCCTACTTACCCTGCATGTACATTTCAATTTATTAATGTGCATGGGTCTACTTTATGCTGGGCACTGTCAACCAATTTCTTATCTGCTTCCCATTCTCCCTCTCTGGATATGTAGACCTGCATAATTAGAAATATCCATGGAGAGCAAGACCTCAAACCAAGCAAAATTAGATCAAACATGATGGTGAGTCCTGGAAGCCCAGCATTGAAACAAGAAATGCAGCAGAGTGGGAAATGTTTCTACCTTGGGAAACAGAGGCAACATGTACCCAAGCATTTGTCCTATTGCATAGCATACTCCTGGACTGGATGTCTTCACGGGTGAATTTTAGCAAATATTTCAAAAAAAAAGAAAACTAACATTTATCTTTCTCAAACTATTTCAAAAAATTCAAAAGGAGGGATGTTCATTTTATGAGGCCAGCATTATCCTAATTCCAAAACTAAGTAAAGACACTACAAGGAAAGAAAATTATATGCCAATATCCCTGGTGAGCATAGATGCTAAAATTCTCAGCAAAGTATTAGCAAACTGGATCCAGCTATACATTAAAAAGATCATACACCATCATCAAGTGGGATTTATTCCAGGGATGCAGATGTAGTACAATATCCATAAATCAATAAGCTTGATATATCGCATAAACAAAATGAAGGATAAAGACAACATGATCAGCTCGGCCAGCATTGCTCAGTGGCTTTGCGTCGACCTATGAACCAGGAGGTCACAGTTCCATTCCAGGGCACATGCCCAGATTGTGGGCTTGATCCCCAGTAGGGGGCATGCAGGAGGCAGCTGATCAATGATTCTCTCTCATCATTGATGTTTCTATCTCTCTCTCCCTCTCCTTTCC